GGTGGAGGCTGGCTTTTTTTTCGACAGCATATTTAACTTTAGCCCAAGAATATAATGCTTTCTTAGAAAGTGGGGGAAAAAAACCACACACAGCCTTCTGGTTCAAAATTTTCTATGTCTCTAGCTTTATAAGTAAAAGTTTGACTATTTCCCAGGGATTATTCTGCTGTCAAGTCTATGTGTATTGGTATCATGCCTGTCACACTTGATCAAATCATGAGTCTGATTTGTACTTTGCAGACAACTTATGAGTGTCTGTTGGCTCATATGTAAAGAATGACCTTTCTGAAGTGTGCTTCATCTACAAAACTTTGAAGTTGACCAAGGCTTTCCTTTCAGTTGTCACTGTAACCATAGGCCTTGTAACTGAAATTAGATACAGAGGTCATCTGACCTAATAGAGACCTTTATCTTCAGATTAAATGAATCATGAACCAAACTCCATTGTCTGAATCTCTCCTAACTAGAAATTTACTGCATAATGATTACCTCATTTGTAGATGTCTACATTTTTAGATGCTTTTGCTAAGCTATCTACCTTTTCCTCACATATCTTGCACTGCCTCTCCTGGTGTGTAGATGGCCCACTCACCTGACATCAAAGCTGGACTGGAAGAAAAGAGGGTAAATTGCAAAAAAGATATTAGACATATGAAAAAAAAAAAAAAGACAAAACAGATCTTTTGGGAGGTAAGAAATGATACCAATATTCACACAAAGACATGATCCAAGGCCAGGGCTGAGAACAAATAAAGTAAAGGGGAAAAGAAAAGCTAGGGTAAGAGAGGGGTCTAGAGGCTAGGACTAAATAGGACAAGTTCTAAAATAGTATGAGGAGGCTGGGATCAAAGAACAGAACAAATTGCTTGCAGACTTGCTTGAACATAAATAATTTTGGTTCTCCATAATTTATGTAGCTACTACTTTGGAGTCACAGATTTCTTCAAGGTACTTGCTGATAGAAAGCATTGCATACAAAGTTTTCAACATGCTTAAGCCAAAATAAAACTCTAGATGTTTTAAAACTATTCCAAACAATGCATTATTTCTTTAGATTCGCTGATCATCAGTATTACCCAGGCAACTTTTAATCCAGCAAATCTGACTTTTATACATAACCTTTTCAATATAAGTAATTGTGATAGACAGACTGGTGCCCTTCTCATCTCAGTACATTTCTGTTCTAATAACATAGTCATTTTAACCTAAAAAGTTTGCCTTAGATTCATTCAGAAGACTCTGAGTGGGATTAAAAGAGCAAGAATGGCACCTTGTGTAATAGCCTTCTCATAAAATAATTCTTTTCCCCCTTGGGAAAATACACAAAACCAGGAAAAATGCAAGATCAGTGGGAGACTTTGAATCCCATTTTCATTGTAATGCTTAAGTATAGTCCCAACTTGAGGTGACTCAGCTCAGTTTCAGGCCTTTTTTTCTTTCCCCTCCCGCCCATTTCTCCACAGCTCAGTCACCCCAGCACTCAGAACAGTGGATGTAACCGCCCTTCATCTCAGGATTATGGCCAGCACATAAATGCTAAGCTTAGCCCTCTGATGCTGATCGCTCGATGAGGCAACATGGAGTGCCACAGACCCTCTTCACTGCCTACGTGATCACACTCCTCCTCCCTTTACAGTTCCACAGTCCAAGACAACACAGGACTGAAAGGAGGAGCACCCTTTATAAGAGTTGAAAAATATCAATGGCCTGAATGTTGACAAGGAGTGAATACTGAGGCAGGTTCACTATCCTCAAAGCTAAGGAGGAATCAGGTGTGCTCTCAAGAAAAACATCCGCGCCAGTTGGCCCTGAGCCATGCAGAAGCACCAGGAGGAAGCAGTGAGTAGGATACAGCAGTGGGTCCCACCTCAGGGGCCAGCTGCCAACCCAACCTGCTCTACAAACAGGTTTGCTGCTTGCCAACTGAGAACTTATGAGTAAGGATTAAAGAGCAGGTGATATGGGTGACAAGGTAGTGAGTGTCTGCTCTTGGATCCCCTGATCATGAGGCCTTCTGTGGCCTCCCATCTGCAAGCCCTGGTCCTCATGGGGCATTTTAACTCCCCCTGATGCCAGCTGGAGGGGCATAAGAGCAGTGTGGCTGCTTGAAAGCACAGCTTGGCAGAATAGGACATGAGAGTCCTGGTGGACACTATGTTGAGCATGAGCCAACAATGTGCCTTTGCCACAAAAGAGACCAATGACATCCTGGGCTGCATCTGGAGTCCTGTCACCTGGTCCAAGGAAGTGTTCCTTCCCTGTTAATCAGCACTGGTGAGGCCACATCTGCTATGTCCAGTTCTGGGCTCCTCAATACAAAAGACACATGGACATACTGGAGACCATCCAATGAAGGGCCACAAAACAATGAAAGGACTGCAGCACCTCTCCTATGAGGAATGGCTGAGGCACATGAACTGTTCAGCTTGGAGAAGATTTAGGGGAGATCTTATTAATGTATATAAATACCTGAATGGAAGGTGCATGCCAGGCTCTTCTCAGGGGTGCCCAGAACACAGGAGGCACCATCTGAAGACCAGGAAACACATTTTTACTTTGAAAGTGACTGAGGACTGGAACAGGTTTCCCAGAGAAGTTGTAGAGTCTGTATCCTTGGAGATACTCAAAATCCACGTATTCCAGGACAAACAGCTGTAAGCAGCCATGCTTGAGCAGGTAGGTTGGACCCACCCTGGACCTTCAGAGCTTCCTTCCAACCTCAGCCAATTGTGAATTTCCCTCTTTCCTTGAAGCCAGATATTGAAGTCAAACCTGATATTCCACTGGTCCCCTGATCATAGTCCCTACAATACTGATATTCTGCAGCTTTATGTGCCAAACGTGAAAATTTGTTATTTGTTATTTGCTGCCATTGGTTTTCCTTATGAAGGTTTTGAAAATAGGAGCTGCGTATTTTTTACAATTTATCGGTGAGATGAGAGAGTAAGGCTTTGTACTTTTAAGATCTTGAATTTGTCGATCGTTCTGTGAACATTTTGGAAGCACTAGTAAAGACCCAGACAGCTGACCAGCTTGTGCCATAAAACTCCAGCTAGAACCCACCACTGCTCCTACTGCAAGGACAAGTACTACTAGTATTACAGCAGTATAATGTCACAAAACCACTTCAATTAAAATTTATAAATCAAATCCTGTTCAGAAATAGGCATGCTTATCTTCATAAACTGGTTCATGTACAAGAAATGAACAGTTTTTGTAGAAGATCCTTTTATTTTGAAAAAAATTTATTACTCACTGTTGTACAAAATATACCTAAAAATATGATGTTAAGATAATTTTGACACTGCTAGGTAGTTTGCAAATTACCTAGTTGAAGAGAAGAAATCACAATTTTTAAGGCGGTTCAAGACAGTAACAACAAGTGAATTATACATTTTAACATATTCCATTTGTAAGCTTTACACAAATGTTATCTGGTACTTGGTATCTGTAAACTTTAATGCTTTATACAAAGTTCCCATTCACATATTTAGAAGATACAATGAAAACAACATTCTACAATTCATTTTTTAAAGCATCTCATTTCTACTCTTCGTTTACAGAAATAGCTGGTTCAATTCAGAACTTTAATTTTTCAAAGAGCCAAACAAGCAGAAGTGATTTCAGATTTCTACTTTGTTTAAAAATGGACAAAAATTAAAGTAACTAATTATCTATGTTTGTTGAAATGTAAAAAAGAACAAAAACATTTTTAAGGCAAATTAGATTAGAAAAACATTACTCTGATTTAAATAATTTATTATTTTAATTCCAGGGTGGTAAGTTAGCAACCATCCACTTAAAACAGCCAATGCCAATTCAATTTCAGCTCATAAAAATTTGGTCTGTTCTTTTAGCACAGTATTACTATTATATTTCATGAGGAAAGAAACCATACTCCCAGAGGCTCCTCTACACCACCCTCCAAGTAATTTTCAAAAGAGTGCAGTCTGTTATTTATCCTAGGTCCTTCTGAACCATAGGATTTTTATATAATTTAAAAAAACAAACAAACAAAAACACCAGCAAACATTAAGAGAGGAAGGGGGAGACATTAATATTACCTTAAAAAGTGTATAGCCAATAACTAAACATAAAGATGCAGGACATAAAGCAGCAAGATAATCACCAGGGGACAGATCTTCACCTGGCATAAAGTCAGCATAGCTTCACTGGCATCAGCAGAGCAATCTTGACTTACATCAGTCACAGATCTGACTGTCCACGTACAGAAAAAATTGTTTATGTTAGTGATAAAGAAGAGCAGTGTTCAGAAGAGTAGTGTTAGCACACATTCTTTGAATAAAGTAAGTTCATAACACTATGGTTTTCATCTAGTATTTTGCTGCTGATGACTGTCACTCTTGTCACGGGCAGTGTACCTAGTTCAGGATGAATTCATTACCACTTTCAAATGATGCACTAAAATACATTGAGCATTGGTCTATGAAGTTCTTAACCACAGCCAGTTCTTACCAGAAATACACTGAAACCCATTTACAGTGTGAAACATAAGGTTTTGAAAGTACTATTTTATAACACTGGTAAGTTTTTCTATTATTATAGGTTTTCACTGACCATAATTTGTGTGGAATGAACTGCAACCACTGTAAGTCAGCAGCAACTGAGATTTAGAGCATCATGACTCTTGGCTGTTAGTAATTATTCCTTTTACAGATCATTAGCTATAGTAAATATTTAAAAATATCCCTAAGGCATATGTTTACAGAGCAAATCCTAAAAGCAGAATTAGAGCAACAGAAATAAGTAATTGCACAAGTTTCTCATAGGCACTGAGATGTTCTTTTAAGGCACAAGAGAATTCCCAGAGTTCAGAGGACAAATTACTTAACCAGGAGTGCAAATATTAAAAAAAAAAAAAAGAAACATTTAAAATCTGGGAAGCAGAGGTGAAATTCCACCTGCTGCTTATGACAGCATTCAGGTCCCACTACTGTCATCTGCCAAAGGTACTTCAGACTTTTCTGTGTGTGTCTGTGTGTGTATATATATATGTATATATAGTGTATATGTATGCTTAATCTAGTAAAATAAGAAATGGGATTCAGATGATTTCTGCCAGAGATGTTTGTAAATGCTCACCTCTACAACTACCACATATTACACTCAAAACAGACAGTTTATCCCAGTGTAATTTTGCATCTCAATAAAAAGATATTCTAAAACACATTATTAATGGATAATATGCTCAATCCATCTGAGCTGCATCTTCTGTCAAGTTCTACTTACAAAAAGAAACAGTTAATGAAGTCCATAACAGGGCAAATGGAAAGGTAGTCGTAGCTACACTGGACAAAACTCTCAGCAATGGTCATCATTTTTCTGCAATGATACTATGTCAAAACTCACAAGAAACTGAGGTACAAACTTAGGTGAAGTAAACATGAGATTTGTCTTGCGTTCATTTGAAATATGATAGTTACCTCTATTTTGTGATTTTTTTTTTTGATCTTTTATTTCTCTAAAAGAAAAATACATACTTGCATACAATGCTGATACCCTACGTGGTGATGCCATAAATCCCTTAGGATAGCAAGTTTGATGGGTGGTAACCCATTAGGAGAAAAATATATTTTTGAATATTATTTTACATATATACAATATATATATATTTAATTTTCAACCAAAATGTAAAGTTTTCTAATATATTTATGAGTATTCTTATGTCCAAAATGAAAAAATATTTTGTATCTCAGTTCATATAAGTTAAAAATTAACAAGGAATTTGATATCAACCAACAAAGTTCTTGTTTCATTTCTATAAAATTAAAAGAAAACAAAGAAACAGTGAGTTAAAAAGCTTTCCTTCTCCAAAGCCAAATATAGTAAAACTTTGAAGCTGAACAATTAATTAAAAGAACACCAAGTTTTGCATTTTAAGTAATCACGAAGAATGCAAAATGTAATCTAAGTAGGAACTAGCATTACTATATTAACCTAAAGACAAAATATTTTGAGTCTCTTATTTTGATGGAATGTGTCCAGTATAAGAAAATGTAAATTTAAAGCAAGAGTTACTTACACTCTCACCAGTCTATATAAATTTTTATAAACCTCTTCCCCCGTCAATTCAAAAATACCTAATATCACAAAAGTACGACAACCACTTATTTACAGGTTTTTTTCAGCACTGTGAAAGGCACATTTATCTTTTTATGCATGTTTCTGCTAATGTCCTAAACTTGGGTTCCAACTGATCTAAGAAGTCAAGTGCCTCTTCCTCATGCTGATCACTGCAGCAGCCTACAGAGCCAGCCAAGGATCCTTTTCCTTCATAGTTATATGAAAGGAGATAATCTTCAGAATGCTTCTGTTCTTCATCCTGTCTGCATAGGTGCACCTTCTGGATAGGAAGAGAACATATCTTATTATTTTCTTAAATTGTTATCCTAAACATATTGCATAAAAATAATTTCTTTTTGATTTACCTTTCATTGATTAATTTTTAATCAGAGTGTGTCCTCTAATGGATTCCTACATACAAAAAATGCACATGATTGGTCTATATCATTAAGACTACAAAATATAAGTATTTAATAAAGAAATCATTTCTACTAGTCATGTATGTACAATAAAAGAGGAAGAACCTGTTTAAATAACCTGTCAAGCCACTAAAATCCACTCAAAATTAAACAACTGATTTACATATAACTAGTTAGGCAAGTAGTGAAGAGTTTTTTGATCTCCAAGGCATGGAATGACTGCATTTCTAATGCTGTACATTCATTCCTGCTCCATTGCTAAGGTAAGCATGAGGTTTAAATTAGTACAAAGCAAGCAGTTAGAATAAAAGTAAACACATTCCCAGAAAAACTCACAAAAGCTTCAGTAATTATTCGAAATTAATAAATATTCAAAATGCAAAATAGCACACTGTCTATAGCTTAAGCCAAGAAAAGAAAGTATTTTACAGTAATGTCTGAAATATGTCAAGGATGACTTCTTGAAAGGGTGGTATTCCAAAGGGGATGCAGATGAGCAAAGGAGAGGAAAAATTAAATGAAACCAAAACCAGAAAGCCACCTTTCTAGAACAATTACATCTCTTCCTTGAAAAGTCTGTATATATTGACCATAACCTACACTTCAAAAAATAAATCAGTTTCAGACTACTTACTTCGCCTAAACGAGGATGTGTGAAATTACGCCATTCTGAGTAGGAGTATCTACATGTGTCCATCATAGTCTGTCCTCCTCCTTCTACAACTGATCCCAAAGTCTGGTGTCCAGCTCCCTTGACTGATTCCAAGGTATGCCCTCTTCCTTTTACCACTTCAAATGTTTGCTGATCTCCTGTTTTCACTCCATAACCTCCTTGATCACATGTATTTTGTAGAGGAATTATATTGTGATCCTAACAAAAAAAAAAAAAAAAGAAAGGCAATAGTGGGGATACATTTTCCTCCTTTTTTTTCAATTCAAAAGACAAAACAGCAATCAAAACCAGTCAAAACCGAAAATTAAGAAGTCTCCATCTCTGCACTGTGATATTTTGAATAAAAGGCTATCCTTAGTACTTAGCAAAAAAGGTCAGTAAATCGTCTTTGGAAAGGATACAATGACAAGGGGGAAGAGGGAAAATCTGCATTTAAATATGATATGAGATCCAATAACTGAGTTTTAATCCCAGTTAAATGTGCTACAATCCATATACTAGCTTAGAATGGCACTACATTATGCTTCACAGGCAACAGGATATCTGACACTTGTCACTCTTAGGGTTTCTTGGGTTTCAACATGAAGTAAACTACTGTTTTTAAACTCATCTCCTTTTCTTAGGGAGGACAATGTCAGGAGGTGGGGAACAACAGAAAAGAGGAAGAGTCTGAAGAGCTAAATTCTTGTGTACAAACACAGTCCTTGACCGAATGATGTTCATGGCAGACTAAAATGCCAAAAAGTAAGAAAAAATTTCATGAACATGGACAGTTCATGAAATCAACTGTATTTGGGGTCATTTTTCAGGGGAAGGTCAGAAATTGTACCTGCAATTTACAACAGTTACCTTCTAAATTTAAAAATCCTTCTCCAAGGAAAAACAATAATGCTTTGCCATAAACAGTATTCAACACAAGCAAAACAGCAAGTTTCCATCTAATCTCATAGTGGAAAGTGACTGAAGTAGTTAAAAGGTTCACCTGAAACTTCCAACCAAACACTTAAAATCTGGAAGAATTTAAGTTAAGCTAACGACTACAAGGTATGTTTAAATGTATAGTACTACCAAGTCTGCCTAAAGTAAGAATTTTCAAATTCTTGTAAAACGACAATGTGCATTTAATGATCCCTGCATTGACTGCTTAATTCCTTTACCAAATCACTCACTTGCATATGGTCCTGTCCTTAAATTGCAATGCTTTGGACATCTTAATTACAAGCTTCTACATTGAAGCAAACAGACATCACTTACCATCACTTCTTCACCTGGAGCTTCTGTGTTTGAAATGATTAAATTGTGATTGGCACAATCATCAGTCACCTGTCTGTGCATTACTCCACGGCCACAGCAGCCACAAATTGTGATCAGGATTACTATGGAAAGGAAACAATACTATAAACTTTACCTCATTATGGTATCTATTTACATTGCATAGTGAATTTTAAATGCCTAAGCATCAAAGCATTAATTATTTAAAAAATAATTAATTTCCGAAAATGCCCATATACAAAGCTGTATACATACACATTTTTTTCAAAAAGTATATGGAGTTTTCACTGCCTTGTTGAGCTATTTCGTTCTTCTAAAACACATCTTGGTTTCCCAAAAGAAACGCAAGTATCCTTTATGAAAGCATTGTGACTTCACAATTTCACAGTAACAAAAACTTTAGACCAGATCCAGGTGAAAAATCATGTCTTATGCCTACAACAAGGTTGTACATAAGACATTTTTCATCTGTGAATATGCAGATGTCAAATTATATCATAAGGAACTAATATGCAAGCTAAAGGTCTCAATACCAGAAACTTCTGTTTCACACAAAAGGTCAGCAGAACCCTGGAGGGCCTCCAGCATTATGTTACAGAACAATCTTATTTAATTCCTTGCATTCATTTTATTCCTCCTATAATACTACTTTTTGTTGTCATGAAGACTCACCCAGAAATGACTTTGCATAAAAGAATCATGTACAACTAACACCTCTGATGCAGAGAACCATTCTTTTTTCTTCACTTTTCAAATTGTTAGCTTAAAAATAAAGAAGCTCAAAGGAACAGAACAGTTCTGCCTAACTGCCCACTGAGCAATCTGACGTCTGAAAACAAAAATTTCTGTGAAAACTGGCCAAGAGCCACTTTCAAGTTAATTTAGCTTCTGTAGCATCAGCTGTCAGCAAGATCAGCACCAGTGATTCTGGCAGTCTGCTTCCTGATGCTGACAGATGGGAAGAAGATATCCATGACAGCACTGAGTACAGGATACACAGGGTAAAACCTAGCCAACAAAATAAAGGATCCATTTAAAAGGGATGCAGTCAAGAGGCAATGACAGAAAGGCAGCTGACATTTCACACAGTTCCTTTACTGAGAGTTCCCACATCTGAAAATTCTACCTTCGGGCTATATCACAAATTTGGGTACCTGCCCTGTTGAGATAAAACATTGATCTATCTAGCTTTCACAACATGTCCAGGTCCCAGTCTTCTATCTACCTGAGTAAGAACAGCTTGCTGAGATTCAACAGGAGCAGGACAGTTTAATTACTACCAGAAAAGCACAGAGAAGAAAGAGGTAAGAAAAAAAAACAAAAACAATGCAAACTCTGAAATACTAGTTTACTGTAAAATGTCCTCTGTGATTTTAAAGGATGTTATATCTGATTCTGGTAAAAAAAAATTATCTGGTTTTGCTTTTGCATATCACTGTCACTATCTCACTGGTTAACAGCAATATTACCCTTCTCAGAATCTTTTAGGTTTTGGGTAACTCCAGTTGCACAACATATATTTAAGTTTTTAGTCTGCTTTGGAAGTATTCAACCTGTCCTTCAACATTTCTGCATGTGGGATGGGGCAACTCCGCATGTACATACAGACTAGGCAATGAGAGGCTGGAAAGCAGTGCCACGGAAAGTGATCTGGGGGTCCTGGTCGATGGCAAGTTGAATCTGAGTCAGCAGTGCCCTGGCAGCCAGGAGGGCCAACCCTGTCCTGGGGAGCAGCAGGCACAGCATCATCAGCCAGTCAAGGGAGGGGATTGTCCTGCTCTGCTCTGCACTGGTGCAGCCTCACCTTGAATACTGTGTGCAGTTTGGGGCACCACAATGTAAAAAAGATTAAAAGATACTAGAAAGTGTCCAAAGGAGGGCAACAAAGACAGCCTTGAAGGGAAGCCGTATGAGGAGAGACTGAAGTCATTTGGTCTGTTCAGCTTGGAGAAGAGGAGACTGAGGGGAGACCTTATCCGAGTCTACAGCTTCCTTGTGAGGGGAATTGGAGGGGCAGGTAAAGATCTCTTCAATCTCATGACCAGTGACAGGACTTGAGAAAACCGCATGAAGCTGAATCAGGGGAAGTTTAGGCTGGATATCAGGAAAACGTTTTTCACCCAAAGGGTGGTTGAGCACTAGAACAGGCTTCTCAAGGAAGTGGTCACAACACCAAGCCTGTCTTGAGTACAAGAAGCATTTGGAACTACACTCTCAGGAATATGGGAATTCTTGGGGTGTCCTATACAGGGCCTCAATGATCCTGATGGGTCCCTTCCAACTCAGCATATTCTATGATTCTATGATAATACGGGCTCTTGCAAAATCCTTTGTGAAATCCAATGTCTCAGATACTCCATGTTTTAATTCACAACACAAGAAAGATCACAAAACGCTCAAGGAAATTAATTTCAGCATTTCTAGAAACAGATATGTTTCTAGAACTCACAAACTTTGCTTGACCTGATAAGCACTATAATACCATCCTCTTTTGGTTCAAGTGCTGAATGCAGGTTTTTTGGCCTCAATAGCATGAACATACAGAACATCTTACACAAAATATACTTAAATGAATAAACAAAAAGCCACAGAGTAACTACAGCACAAGATGAGAGCAAGAAGCCTGTGATACTGACACAAATAGAGCAGATACATTAAATCAGTGATGAGAGCTATACAATTGTCAAAATAAAAAAATGTTTTAATTAAATTTGAATCAGTTTCTCTAAGCTGATTTTAAAAATTAAGTGGTTTTGCATTTTGTGTTTAAAAAAACAGTGTACTTACGCAGCAATAACAGCGATCCTAAGATCATTGCAAGGATGGCCCAGAGACCAAGAGTAACATTTCCACCAGAAAGCTGACGGCTCCTACCATCGCATTCAGTTGGAGTAACACAATCACAGAAGTTAACTCTTACAGTGGACTCTCCTACCTTTCCTCCGTTATCCATCACACTTACAGGAATATCATAAATTCCAAATGGAATATCACCCTTTGGTGAAAGATATGCACAATTATCTGTAAAAAAAATGACAAAAGTAGATCTAGTGTCAACAATACCTGCAACTCAGTTGTCACAAATATGACCGTAACCACAATCTTCCCTTCTGTTGCAGCTATACTGCCACCAGATCCGCATTAGTTTAAAGCTAGATTAAATGTGGTGACAAAAAAACTACATCGTGGAAGGATTTATACTTTCAGCACCTTTTAACCTACAGCTAAATGAGGAGAACAAGTCTTAACGTACCGTTTTGTGCATTTATCTTCCACATGGAAGCCAAGTTACGGTCAGTTATGCGATACACAAAGGGTGTGCTGTACGGAGCCTCATCATCATCCTGTGCAGTAAGGCAGATTGGTTCTCTGTCTCTGCACATTATATAGTCTGTCTGAGCGATTCGTGGGAAATTCTTGTTCCCAGGCACGATGCAAACCTGAATTGTTCCAGTGCCTGTTTTACCATCTGTGAGACAAAAATAACTAGTTTCAGCACTTACTTCTAACATTCGCATATTAATTCCTAGTCCAAACTTTCACAATAAAATATCATCAACTGTAACATCGAAGTTTAGAAGTAAGGTGGAAAGCAACTGCTGATTTAGCCAGAGAGAGGGTTCTCTCTTGGCTGCTTCTCTTTGCTTGGCTGGATGCAGATAAATCAACAGCTCCCAAATCTCCATATTCTGCATGTGCAGACAATGTATTTTGTTGACCACGTGTATCTCTGTGGGAATACACGGCGTTCTAACAGGAGGAATAGAGGCGGAAGAGCCCATAAACCAGGAATAAAGGACACTAAGACAATCGGAGTAAAAAGCAAAAAGTGAAGATCTCCAGCCTTTTAACTTCTGGAAGGAGAAAATAAATTGCACTTTCATTGCTCTCACCTCTTCTGGGAATACAAACACTTTAAGAAACAGTGGGGCTTCTTTCTGTCCTCTACCCTCTAAGTCACCATGCAGTAGCAGAGTTCATCAGTGGCACTGCCACCAAAATCTACGTGCAAGAATTGAATGAGCTCTTCCTCCTAATTCCATTTTTTTCAGTACACAAACGGTCAGTGCATGTATATGCATTCCCGTGAAATTACATCAAGACTACTTTTTAATCCTTTCTCTAGAAACAACTGATTGCAGATTCATATATCATCTTTATAAACAACAGAAATTCTAAACAATTTAAATTCATATTATTTATATTTAATATACAAACTGGGACAGAGAATTTTTAGCTGCAATGTCAACAATTTCTTTTCCAAAAGTTTTCTCAACTTTCCCTGTTGACAAGTTCACAGCTGCCAGGTGCTATCACTTAAAAAACAACAGTCAAGGAATAGAAGAATACAATCCACAGGAAAATCTCCCAATTTAAAATTACTAGAGGATTTTAAATGGGGACAGATAACTTTCCAAAACACTGAGAATTTTCCCTGATTTTCTAAAGGTTTTCTCTGCTGTGTAATATTCCCTAAGCATTTGATGGAGCTATCCCAAAGACACAACAATGGACTAGGCGGGCCATTAGTCGGAACCACTACTTTTGTCCCCACACTAAATTTGCTCATAAACATCTGTTACAGACCACAAAGAATGCCAACAACATTTAGTACTCACTTCTGTCTATTGCAAGGACTGTGATATTGCATTGGCCTCGTCTCATTTCTCCTATGTCTCGGTCCAAGACTTTAACAGTTCTGACTTCACCCGATTTGTCATCTATGTTGATCCAATTACATTGTCCAGGTGGTATCCGGTACCTGCCAAGAATAATTTGTCTTGTTAAAGATCCCAAACATACGTACCTACCCATATGTACAGACATAAATATTTAGATACATGTATTCATATACACTCTCACAGGTGTGCAGGTGCACACACATATACACAGCACCAACAACTTTTTCCCCTTTCCTGTATCCCACTCATGCTGTACTCCAAAAAAACTAGTAGGTAAAGTTGTTTCATACCTTATGCCTTCACTATTTCCAGTTTCTGGATCTTCTGCTACATATCTCCCAATAGCCGTCCCAATATCTTCACATTCTTTAACATCTAAGCGCAACAGACATGGTTTAAACACTGGTCCCTCATCCACATCCAGGACGTGCACTGTAACAGAGCAGGTGCTCTGGGAAAGCTGTTGTGAATGTGGTGCCAGCAGATAGGGTGCCTCATTGTTGACTCCAATGACAAGGACCCTTTGCTTGGCACTTTCATAGTCCAGTCCCTGTAACAAAGGTGGGGTGTTGTTTTTTTTTCCTTCAAACAAATACAAAACTTGGTATTGCTTTCACTGCTGAATTATTAAATAGATAAAACCGTACCACACTTATTTACAAAAGAAACCAGCTATCCTTCTTGAACATCCATTTTGAGACACAGTAAAGGGACACGATTTTTTGAAAAAAATGTTAAGTTCTAAGTTAGTCAAAGAAAAGAGCCTGAGGAAATACCCCTAACATGACAAGCAGCACCCCTGCCAAATTTTATATGAATATTCTGTTACTGAATTACTAGTAGAACTGAGAAAACAATTAGATGTGGTGAGGTATTTTCCTCTTCCATATCTAGTTGGCTATTATTTTAGCTTACATACATTTCCTTTCCACCACTAGTCAATCACACTTCTTTCCAGTACCTACAAATACATCTGAATCTATAGGGTTGACAGTAAGTAGTTACCATTTATTCTTCAGACCTACCATTTTTCTCCAAGGTCATCATATGCTTTTAATAGAGCTAATTTTATCCTGAAGTCACAATACTCTCTACTCTACTACAGCATTACAAAAAAGATAAGAAATTTCAACTGTCTTCATATACCAGGGACAGAGCTTAAGAAAAAGTTCTAATGATTACTGGTAAAAAAAACCATAATAAATAACTAAAAAAAATATTACTGGCAGCTCTACCTCTATAACTTACATCTTCAAATTTTAACATTAATATTCTCTGCTCCTGAGAAGTTACCTCTTACAGCAGTTTTAACAGATGATGAAAAAGAGGCATGAAAAGGCAAAGGGATGTGCTGGAGCACAGATGCCATGGATCTTTTACCTCACATCTGTAAAGTACTGGGTATAACAAGTAACTAAACTAATACACAAAATAGCGTACGTGTACTCTCTCACACCCCAGAAAAGCAAACCACAAGTCACTACACTGCAAAATAAATTCTGGAGAGTTTTATGCTGACATAATAAGTTTAATTCAACTCCAAGAGAGAACAAGACTGGAGAAGGTGCTCAACCTTCCCCTCCTTTGCCACTCTCCTGTCTCTGTTAAAAAAAACAGCCACGAAGCATTCCTCAAATTACATCCCTAAATCTAAATAACAACTGTAGAACAAGGCAAAAGCACCAAGCTCTTCTGAAATGACAAACTAGAGGAAATTCCTTGGATTCTGAGCACACAACATTGAGCAGTAGTCTGGAAGGTGAACTTTGCGGGTTATGTACCATACACAAGCCTCAATCGCTGTGTGTAATCTGCTCTAGAAGAGTGTTCAGCTCAAAAGTCTGATAAACCTTACAGTTACAGATATTCTTTGAATAAAAATGATTCCTATATTATTAAAAGTAAAACCTGAAGAAACATAAATTTTCCCTCCAGCTTTTACTTACCTTGACAACACATAGTATTCCTTCGTTTGTGTTTTTGTCTGTTGTAATTTCAAAGGCCTGATCATCATTTCCTCTTATAATTTCATACACTGCTCCTGAGCCAGGTGAACCAGGTTCATCAAGATCAACAACAGAGACTCTCAGTATTTCTACACTCACTCTGTTTTCCTCCACTCGCGTTTCATACTTGGAAAATAAAAAAAAAATAATAATAATTTAAATCAGAGAATACTGTTCCACGATGGAGTACTGAAGAACACCATATTTAAATAACACTACTTAAACCCAAGGGGTCAATTTACCAAAGTGCTGAAATGATTTGTTTTGTTTTCATGCATTATCATATCTTCCCCACTCCTCCCTTACATCCTAGGTCAAACAGTAACCCTTTCCTGCTAGCACAGTTGAAATCTCAGCTTCTTCATACACTCAAACTGTCATTGACATAATTATTTCTAGAATTCTTCTTCCAGGAAAGGTAAATTAGCACAGTTCCCCTCACTTACACAAGCTATAGATTCTAATTTACATACAACATGATCAAACTGAGAATTAGAAAGAGTATTGGGCAAATTAAAAAAAAAAAAATATATATATACACATATATATATATATACACACACATATATACATATACACATATATACATACATATATACACACACACATATATATATATATCTCCAAACTAACCACAAGAACTTGAAGAAAAGCCAAAAAGGATGAAATACATCTTCTCTACTTAGATGGCAAAGGATAAAAGGGCTTTTCTTATCTTTATCTTTTTAAAGAGCTTTGTTATTCTCTACGAGGTCAAGAAGAGCAAATAAGAGAAAAAATGTCAATTAATATTACTGACGATATTCTACAGTAGTGAAGGCAAAAGGTAAAGTACATGTATTCCTCAGGAATAATGAATTATTTTTCATAAATTTCATATTACAAAATCTCCTGTGGTATTTGAGCTATGTACATGGTTTTTGAGACATACTCTCTGTCCTGAATCATACAGATGGCAGGAATAAGCAAAGCCATAAGGCTGAGTTATAGCTATTAGTGAACAAGAAGTGGCTTAAATACTTCTGTAGAAGAAAAAAATATGTTGGAAAATCACAGGAATCTCAGTGAAAATCCTTGCATCTACTTCACTGACAAGTGCTTTTTCATTTGCAACACAGAAGTAGCCAAAAGCTGGTCAAATGGTAATGCAGTCATGACGATGCTTAGGAGTGAATCTGTTTTTCCCCCAGAAAAAAATGGTTAAATTATGGGATTTCTAAATCCATGCACTGCAGGAGAAGTGAATGAAAGAGTTACATCTGCTTTCTCCCAATATGCATGAGGTAAATGACTCAAAACAACTCATATACCAATAGGTCTAATTACCAAACAGCACAACAACCAACAGGGGATTCTGAAACATCTATATTGGCATTAACTGTCTTAGGGCATTAGGCTTCATCTGAAGGTCAGTCCATCAGGAAATTAGAAAGGGGATGAAAATAGTCCTTTTTTTTTAAATCATTATACTGACAATTCATTTATGCACTTACTTGTATCTGTTTAAAGGATGGTGCATTGTCATTTGTATCTTCGATTTTTACAACCACTGTTCCTGTAGTGCACAAACCAAAAGGTTGACCTGCCATATCTCTCACTTCAACTAACAAAGTGTAACTGGGAACAAGCTGAAAAGAAAAATAAAAGCATACAGAAGTCTGACATGCTCACTTTTTTAATCGCATAGTTACATACAAGAGTAGAACTAAATATTTCACCCCTGCTCCACAACTCTGCTCTTAATTCAGCACTCCCCAACAAAATGAGGCAATTAGCTTTGGGGCTTTCTACCATATAGTTCCAAAAGGAAAAGCAGCAAAATACTTTTTGGTGGCTAAGCAGCACTGAGTTCAGTTTCTGTGGGCAACATGCAGGATATATCCTGTATCAAATAAAGCTTCTCACAATGTCAGCATTATTTTCCAAAACCTGAAGTTTTGGAAAATACAGATGAGGCACCTTCACCTGCTATTTGTCTTTCCTTTGAAGCAACAGAGTATTCCCTTAGGTTGCCAGGAGGTAATGCGTTTCAGTGTATGCCCCTTGTTTCACTAAGGATGAACAAAAAACAGTGCTGCAATCAGCCTCTGTTTGGGCTATACATGATAAGGCAATGCCTGCCATTTGGCAAGGTCTGGTATTGAAGGAGTCAGTGTCCTTATCAGTTCCAAGGGGTTCCCTGATAAGCAGCTCACTTAAATCACTGACTTGAGTCAACAAGTCAACAGCAGAAAGCTTTTTTTAGCCTTGCTAGTACCTGAACAACCACAGAAAAGAGGACCCGGGGAGGGGAAATGGTGCGGGCAGAGGAGTAGGGGACAGGACACAACACAGTAAGATAGATGAGGCACAAAATGAGGGAGTTTGTAAATCAAGACAGTAACTCCAGTTCCCAACGCCTGGAAGCACCATTCATTTTCTCTGGTGCAGGAAAGAAATCTCCTGTTCAATTTCATAAGTTTATCTTTAAAAGATATGGAGTGGACTAATTTTTCAATCCTCCCTTCCTTCCCTCAAGTAGTCACTGTGACAGCTTCTTTAGTAGTCACAGTGATGCTTCGGATCACTGCATTTTTCTCTTGTTAAAAAAGTTGAGCACTGTACCTGCAAGTGCAAATTTTGCAACATGCTGTTTATGTGGATTTTTAGCCATGAAACAAAACAACATAAATATATCATAAAGTAATTCTTTTTATCTTTAGAAAAGATGTGCCTGTAGCAACGTTCTTTTCTAGAATGATTGTCTTATGCAAGAAATATTATTTTGAATTACATGCGCCTGTCAGTTTTTTCTAGTGTAAAAAATCTCTCACGTGACATTCTATAAAAAAAAAAAAATCCTGTATCTTATTTGCTCAAAAGCTAGTTGATAAGAATAAATGGCTGGCACCCTAATTTTAGAAAATGTTATATTATTGTTTAGATTTCAAATACTGGAGATATTTCTGTCGAATATAGGATAAGTGACTACTTCCAGAGAAACTGGTTCATCTCCGTAAGGAAGCAAGAGGCACAGCAAATGGAACTTAATTAGGAGGAAAGAGTGGCTTACAGGATTCATGGACACAGACAGAGTAAAAATCCATAGGTCAAACAGCAGAGCCATGGGGAAGTCCCCTGCCAAGGTTAGATAGAATACGGTAGATCTATGCAGAAACTCTCTGGACTAATTAGAGGTCTCTGAAAAGCTTCAGAAGCTCCTTAGAGAGGGTAACAAAAGTGGGTAACAGAAGCTGTATACGGTGATTCTCATGCAAGCAATTCATAGAACCATAGAAAGGCTTGGGTTGGAAAGGACCATAGAGAGATCATCTAGTTCCAATCTACCATGAGATTCCATTCACTAGATCAGTTTGCTCAGGATACTGTAAAACCTGGCCTTGAACACCTCCAGGGATGGGGCAACCACAACCTCTCTGGGCAACCTGTTGCAGTGCCTCTGTACGTTCTGAGTAAAGAATTTCTTCCTAACCTCTAACCTAAATTTCTCCTCTTTTAGTTTAAAACCATTTCCCTTTGTCCCAACACTGTCTGCCCATGCAAAAAGTCACTCTCCTTTCTCATAAGCTCCCCTTTAAGTAATAAAAGGCTGCAATGACGTCTCCCCAGAGTTTTCTCTTCCCCAGGCCTGTCTTCTTAGAAGAGCTGCTCCAGCTCTCCAGCCATCTCCATGGCCCTCCTCTGGACCTGCTCTAACAGGTCCATGTCCTTCCTGTGCTGAGGACCCCAGAGTTGGATGCAGTACTCCAGGTGGGGTCTCACAAGGGCAGAGCAGAGAGGGGTTAAGAAGCTATCTCTCTGTGCACTAGATAAGACATTAAAGAGGCTTCAGGAAAGATCACCTCTCTGTCCAGCTGCGGCAGCAATACAGAAATTACACCGGTGTCACCATGTAAAGAAAATGCTGGAGTAATTGGTGGATTTTGTGACACAATGCGGTATTTCAATGTAGTATGCAGAGTATAAGGCTCATCTCTGTCCTCTGCAGTCACTTGTCCAACAACAACACCTGTAAACACAATACAGGAATTTTTAGTTCCAGAAAAATCTGCATATAATAAAAAAAACTATTTGAACAGGTATTTCTGTTTTAAACACATGAAAATAGCTACTTGGTCATTTAGTTATAAATTAAAATAATATTTAAAACACAGTAAATAGCCGTAAAAAAACAGTATTAGTGTAAAATTATCTAATTTAACCCTCCGGGTATTTTTTTTGCCTTCTTAGACAAAGTTGTGATTATTGCAGCTGTCAGAAAGAACAATCCAAAGAAACACTGCAAGTTTACATTTCAGTCAGTGTTTTTGACAGTGACTTCTAATTGAGCATCTCTAAAACAGTTGAAAAGGTGTTGCCAGGGGATGGACGAGGAGGTTCAGGAGCTTTCTGACCTGATTCAAATTGCACTACCCCGTCACACGAACACTGCTATACCTCCTCCCCATAGCCCCACTGGTTTTGGAACTTCACTTTAAATCAGGAACTCACACAGTAAGAAGTAAAGCAGCTTAGAGAACGAAATGCAACTGGTTTTTTGGGGTGATGGGGAAGACACTTTGTTTCCTTTTTTGTGAAGCAAGTTAGACTTTCCCCACCCTACAGCCCTACCCTAGGAGATGGGCGAGGAATGGCAAACCATGGCTTTCACATTCCTTATTGTCTGGGGTCCACCTTTCTTCTCCCTGCTTTTGTTGCCTGTTACACAGACACATGAAAGTCAGTAACAGGCAAATCCCAGCCTTTTACAGCTATGGGCAGAAGCAAGACTTTCTCCACCTCTCCCAGGAAAAGTCTCACCTTAGTTCATTAGCTTGGACAAACGCTGCAAGCTTAACCAAAGGCATTTTACACCTTAGAATACCGCCTTTTTAGTTATTTAGGAAACTTCTAAAAACTTTTCAGGGAAACAGATTTTTTGTATAAAATAAAAATAATAATGTTCTGAAATTCTTACACCATTTCAGAACACTGAATCATCTCAGTTTTTAAAAATTTCTTTTAACAATATTTTTCACTATGATGGAGATGACATTTTGGAATTTCTAATAATTAAGAAATCTTGAGCTGCTCTTTGCAAATTCAGTCTCTGCTGTAACAAAATACTCCTCAGGAAATCTCATTGAAATTCATTAAAAGGCTGAGTAGTGGTATGTTCACAGATTTAAAACAATTCTTACCAGGCTTGGAATTTTCAGGGACACAAAACTCAAACAGATCTTTTGTAAAATATGGAGCATTATCATTATCATCTTCTATCCTGATTGTATGCACAAGTGGTACTTCTGGTGAATAACCATCTGGAGTGGTTGCAAAGCAAATGATCTGGAGGATGTAAATTCAGTGCTTAAGCAACAGGCAGTATTATTACACTTTTACTTCAATGAAAGAGCCAATAAAATAAAATACAATGTGAACAGCATACCCTTTTCAAGACCAGACTCTTCAGACACATGGAAGGGAAAGTGACAGGTATCTTAGAGTGACAGCAACACAAAACCTTTAAATGCTTCTAATCTTCCCCCTTTCCATTCCTCACACTACAAATATTTGAATCACTTTCTTCCTGACATCCCCCCAACTCTATCAAAGACTTTTTCCAAATGTCTTGAACGCATTTTTTTCCGAGTGTTTATGAGGCAATCTCAGCATTACCAGAATTTATACACAAATATTGCTATTTAAAGCAAAACCAAGAATGACAGCAATTTGCCCATTATAACATAATCCAATAAAATGCAGCGAAATTACCTAACTAGAAGGGGTTTCTACTAATTGCCTTCTTACACTTCTCAGCCAGTAGAGAGAGCAGTGCACCTTGTTAACAAAATATCAGAACTGAACAGTTTGGGAGAGACTCAAAAAACCACAGCTGTCTAGTGTTTATAATTATTTTGGGTTTTGTAGACCTTTTCAACCTCCCCTTAAAAACTCTTCCTAAAAGTGATGTAAACCGAATAGCCCACTACCTTTATGCTGTAATTAGTCTAAGCAGTGAAAAGCAAAACTATTCTCAAAGTCTAGATGACCAGTTATTTTGGTCACTGATTTCATCTCTTCAACACCAAGGATATTACTCAGAACAAAGAGCTGATTCCACACCTTGTCTGCTGCTAGTTTCCCCTGTAACCCAGTTGTCAAATAAATGCATGACAGAAAGAAAAAAAAAAAGTAATCATATTTACACAACTTAGGCCTGTACCTGAAAGCTTGGATATTGTTCCCGGTCTACTGCACGAGTAGCAAAGATATTTCCAGTTTCTCTTTCTATGTAAAATAAACCCTTTGGATCTTGATCAATTCCTGGTCCACTTGCAGAATAATAAATAGTGTAGTTCTGAGCTGTGTCTGACTGGACCTATAAGAAGATGTTTTTAAGCCCAAGGAAAAACAGCAGGATCATTTTAATACATTTCCCCCTTTTCATTATCACATTTAGCACAAACAGGAATTCTTAAAAAAAAAAACCACCAAACTTGATTTACTTCCATAGAAGCTTAAATTTCACAGAATAGGAGAACAGTCTGCCATGTAACTGCCTTCCTTTATAATGTGTGTACATGAGAAGGGGAGTTAATTCATAAAACTCATAAATGTTTAGAACTATCAAACAAGTAAAGAAATGACAGTATGCAAAAAAAAAAAAAAATTGAAATCTAATCTCTCTAGAATACTGCATATACGAGGCACATCCTTGTCCTGATCAAGAGATTTTATTTTTATTGCATTCATTGAGAATGAGCTGGTTTGCAACTAGAGAAGAAAAAGTGGAGGAGGCAGAGAAAGGAGAGGAGGAAGGAAGACGACCCAGACTATGGTCCAGACATATGCCAATTCAGACAGCTTCTCTGCATCTCATTACAAGCACTAAGGAGGTAACATTAGTTATCTATTTATAAATACTCTTCTACAAAAATACTTTCCTTACCTACTGGATGCCAGAAGTTAGGAAGGTAAGATTAGAAGAATGATTGCTCTGCACAGACTCTGTTATTACACTTGTCTCTACACATCTGCTCCCAGCCACTCTGTAATCTAGAGAAGGCTAGATAGATCTATGATAACTTCAGTTCTTTCATTTCTCTTTCACGCCTACTTGTTTTCTTCCAGTAAGTACTGTTCCAAATAACACAGGCCATATTCAGTCTTCAAGGCTGAAGGCATACACCTCAAGCTCCAGAAAGGATGAAGACATGCAGGTAAAATTTACCCCAGTCTGTGTTTACAAAACCTCTTTCTGGGCAACGTTTAGTGGAGGGTTGTTTGTTGGTGGTTTTTTTTTGTAATTATACACTTCAGTGATTTCCAGGACAAAAGAGCTCTCTTTGATAGTATGCTGCTCTCCTTTTTTTCAACTCTTGCACAATTCCAGTTCGCTCCAACAACTATGATCACAAGTTATCTCAGCTACAAGACCATGAGATATACAATGAACAGGACAGAACAAGACAGAGGAGTAATAGCAGGAACATCAGTAGGGAACACAAGACAGCTCATTTTCTTCTTCATCATCAAAGTCACATAAAAAACTAGCTTGGGACATAAAATTGGGGGTTGTATAAAACGTACCTGCTGAATTTGTAGAGGAAAAGGTCCCAGTGAGTTCTCTATCATAACGGATGGAATAGGGCCCCACCTTCTTTTGGTTCGCTTGAGAACTGTATCTCTAGCATGCCTGGTCTTCTGTGTCTGGGTCCAGGAGATAAAAAGACAGATAAGAATATATCCATTTATTCTTAACCATGTATATTTTTGTTTAACTGCCGTCTTGTGTCTCCATCTTCCCCCCCCTCCGTTGCAGTCCTCCTACGGATCCTTTTTTTTTTCCCAAGGTCTTAATTTCTGATTATACCTATGATAGTATTCCAAGTTTTTTCATTTGCTGTAATACTTTGCATGAATAAAATCTGCTTTAATTCCTCAAACATGGCTTTTAAGATTCTTGACATTCCTGATTAAACTACTTGCTAGTATCTCCCCTTTGAGAAAAGCAATCTGCTGACTTAAGAAACCCAGTAATCAACATCTGCTAAATAAAATTACACTCTGTACCAGTATTTTGCCCTATTATTTGAATTCCAAAAGTCAACTACAGTCACCCAGCATGAAGCTGTACTCTGTGAAACAGAATTTCAAATAAGTAAGGTATCTTGAAATCAGAAGCTCACCTTCTTTTCTTCTTCCACTAAGCTAACATGTATTTTCTTTTCAACTTGTTCTTGAATGTCTTTAAGTAATATGGTAAAAGTTTTTTTCTCAGCAGACAAAGAAAGAGCAGATGTTGTGTACACAGAACCATCCTCTAGAATCTTGAAGTTCCCATCAGTGCTACTGATAAACTCTGCAGACTGAAGGCATTCTTTCAAATCAACTACAAGAAAAATGGACAATAACTCAAACACAAAAAAATAACATCCTCATAAAACAACAAAACGTGCCCCAAGTAAAAATTACATTTACTGACAGAGTCTTCAAGTATTTGTTCATTCAGTATTTAAGCACCACAAATACAGACTCTAGAACCCATGTATGCACTCAGATTTGACCCAGTTTACATTAATTTCCACCCTTGTGTTCACAAGTAGCTCCTAAAAAACATCGGTGCATTATGGATATCTCTCAACAAAACACTATTACAATGGTAAAAGTACTGAAGCATCAGAGATGAATTAATACATTTAAGTGCAAAAAACATTGTAGACGTGTCCATTATTGATCAGTAGCTATTACAGTTGCCTTGTGCTCCATGCCCTACAATATCAGTGAAGACGATTAATTAATGCAAATACCCAATGGAGATGTTACATCTTGGAAGTTTCGCCCTCAGGAGGAAAGCACTGACTGGTACTGTGTGATTTAATAGTCTTGGGAGGACAAAGGCCTTTAAATTATGAGGCAGACAGATGGGAGAGATAAAGACTAACTCTAGAACAAACTATTAGCAAATTTTTAATATGTATGTGATAGAATCCCAGGTTTATAGAAAGTACCAGGTAATTTTAGCATACTTCCAAGATATTTTTCACTGCATTTGCTATCACTTGTGGTTAAAATAAATTCTTACATGCTGCAAAAAACTTGGTTTACCAGCAAGTAATTCAGCATTACAGCTGGAGAAAAACCAGGATACTTCCAATGAATTGCAATAGGACCACAGCACTAAGCAAAAAGGATTTGGCACCTTGAAAAAGATGGAAGCCAGAGACCAAACTCCAGACAAATGATCCTTGCTGAGTACAAGAGATCTCAGTGTCATGTTCTCCAAATCAGAACTCTTCAATACTTCTTCAATGTTATCATAGTGGGTGGGACACTACTCTATCAAGGCTGATTGCAAAATTCTCAAAGTAGATTCAGAATTTCATCCCATATATGCAGATGATATTTTCAATAAACTATATTCCATTTCTCTTTCAAAACTACAAGGACAGATATGAAGTATAATTTTAAATATGATATGATTTCTTCTTTCTCTTAAGTTTGACCTTTATCTGTTTAAGTAAATATTTGCTACACTTTCTATGGTACTGTAGCAGTGACTCCTGTCCTTTTTCACCTATACAGTGAAAACGCAGTATTGAAAATAGCACTGCCTTACTTAAATGTGTTTCATACTGCTGCATATTACATCACTGCATTTTCAAAAATACCAGACTGAAGATTTTGTTTCTGATGGTTATATGAGTCAACACTACGTTCAGTTAGTTATAGCTTTGTGGCATTTTTTTTTTAAAGCCTCTCATCTAAGTTAAAAGTATCAAAAAATCTAACAACAACCAGGAAAATCCTGACTGATTTCACTGTCAAGATATAGTCCTTGTATAAATGCAAAATACTTCTCAATAAATGTTTAAGTAATGTCATTTGAGCTATAGTGGTTTTGTTAAATGTTTGGGTGAAAAAAAAAGTTTAAGTTGAATGCTATGCAATTTATTTCAAAGCAGTGCAATAACATGAAGTTTTATTTTTATATAAATCCAAGTTTATTTACACAGAGAAATGTTGAAGTCTATGAGAATTCACACAGCTATAGCAAGCTTCTTCATTTAAAAATTTAAAAATAAGGTCAATGAATTTCCACTATACAGCTAGATTTTCTGAGCACTTGCATTGTGATGAACTACCAATCCACTTATTATTTATATATTATCCTTCCGTAGGAATGTGGATTAAGATTGCAGAGTTGCAGCATATTCCTCTGTTGTGGTAGGACTCATAAAGGGCACCTCTGAATCCTCAAACTCAGTCTCAGGCACAACAGAACCCTGTAGGAGTTCTTATGCCACACCTTTTAAAGCTGCCTTTCAAAGACTGGTCTGAAAAAAAAAAAAAA